AAAAAAAAAAAAGGTTCAATATTTGCGCAGCTATTAGACTGCATACGTTTCCTTTCTTAGAACGTTTTATCTTATTCTTAACCCTTCATAGTTTCTGTTGCTTTTTTTTCTTTGTACAAAATCTGATTTCTGATTAAATGTTGTTGGTCTACATGCAGAATAGGTGTGACAACAGCAACAGTTCATAATGTGGTGATCTGTAAACCACGGTGAATTTTTCTCAACTGCCATCTTTTTCCTCAGCTTCTTGCCATCGATTCCTTTTTCCCCCTGTTGCCGCTTATTCTTCTCTCTTACTTTGCCGTTCTGTTCCCGCAGCCGGCAGGAACCATTAGCAGTCAGTGCTCTGTTGGCTGACAGTCCGATTATTCGGTGCTCAAAATTTCGAAAGGTCTTTTGGTGCACATTAGGTGTTGAATGGCTGCAGACTGAGCTTTGCGCCTCTTTGCTGTACGCTGAACTTTGGTATTTTTTGCATTTAAAATTCCGATACGTTTTATATATGTGGCATCATTAAACAGAACTGCAGTTGTTGTTAGTGTCATTTGAATTACGCTACGAATTCATTTACTTTTTTCAGATTTTCCTCAAATAATTGACTACTTTTTTTAATCTTCTTTCCTGTTCTTTTTCATTTTGCTTTGCTTTATTTCACCTTCAAAATTCGTGTTAAAGTTGCTTCTTTATTACCTTTTTCACATCCAGATGATACAAACTTAAAATCGTTCGTTTTTTTCGCCATTCTTGTAATTGTTTCTTTTACTGTTGACATACTCTGGTGAATTGGAGTTGCCGCTTCACCGTTGCTAGTTCGATCTAGATATCCGACGGAATTATTACAAAATATTGTCATACTTCTTCATTTAAAAAAGAGCTGAAACGAATTTGCAAGGCATGAAGCGCCAGACAGCTTTTACAGCAACTGGATCGCGAGGGGCATTCCGTGACGGTGCAAAGAACTGTAAACATTAATACAGCAGTTGAGTTACTTTCAGGGGAACGAAGGGTGGCCTCTCAGGGAACTGAACTCAACATTGTGAAGTAATAAAACTCTAATCGTTATCCGTTATTCAACCTGTCGGCAGGAAAACAACCTTATCAAACGTCATCAGAATTAAAGTGATATTGCTGTATTTTTTCGTTAGAAAATTAGCAAGAAGCACATGGACGACTATAAAACTATAGTAGATGAATCAGATGTGCTTGAGAAAATGAAGGAAGGTCGACGGTAAAGAAATATGTTTGAGGATAGAAATGGAACTGCAAATAGTGGCAAAATTTCTGGCTTATCATTTGTGAACTGGTGATTGTAGTCCCACTATACTAAATATTTTTATTTTGCTGATTATGCATTTTAGTTCAACCGTCGGTCTTACACTAGCGATGGTAATACTTTGTTAAACACTGAAAATTTGTTGCCTAAATGAATGCGATGACCGTAGGGACCATTTATGCTGGGGTCGCACCACAAGTGGACATGAATCAGCAAAATGAGGTTATGGTGAATAGCTATAGATAGAAAAATTGGCACAGAAAATGTTTGGGGAGATATTTTTTTTGAGTACTTTGGTATCAAAGAAAAAAAGTGATGTGTAAACTGTAAGACCTGATAGCGTAGCATTCACACAACTCGTCCACAGAGCAGCTGCGCGTAGTGAGATACGAAGAAACCGCTGGAGGGAGGGAATGTAGTGACGTTTTCCACTGGCTGAAGCTGCCGTTGTCACTGTGTTTTTTGGTATCGTCGGTGCGTGGTCGTTTTCCAAAGATAATATAGTGATATGGGTTTCCTTGGTGGTGTGTTTGTTTATGTGCATATGTCTATTGTTTGCTGTTGACTGCGTAACCTTTAGTCACTATTTTGCAACTGTATGCAACGCTCTGCGACAATGTTTTCTTCTACAGTTATGAATTAGTTTCGAAAATAAAAGAGCAACTTTTTTTTTGTGTAAAATTTGTTGGCTTTTGATTTTGTGCGTAGGCATTTGTAGTAGATTGGTGGAAAAACTATCTGTTTAGGGGCTCATTGACAGGTAACGTTATTCATCTTTTTGGGGAAAAATGATGAAATGTGTTGCTTTTTAAAAAAT